GGTTCTCAGCAGAGGAACTCTGGGTCCAGAGGATATGCTCTGCTCCTGGCTCTTCTTTCTTGTTGGTAGAGAGGTTCCCCCTTTCTGCCTCTGGGATGGATCATTTAAAGCCTAGCAGGATGGCAAAACTGACCAGTCCCCTCGTTAGGATTCCATACACCTTATTTGCATGGTCTGACCCCCACAAGGATGTCATGCACTTTATTTGCATTATTACCAAGTTGTCCAATCCCGTTGGTGAGCCGCAAACACCTTATTTGCATAGCCTCATCCAATCATTTGGTGGGAGTTACAAGTCCACCGTGAGAAAGGCCATATAAAAGTGATCCATGGCACCGCAGGAACTCATTTCACCACAACAATTCAGTGACGTTGATTACATTCTTCAAGTTGTGCAACCATTCTCACCCTCTTTTTCTGAGTTGTTCCTCCTCCATTAACATAAACTCAATGCCTCCTAAGTTTCCTTTCTAATCTTTTGAATTGCTGTTGTTAATTTGATCCCACATAGATAGATCTTTAAAAAAAGCACAATGCTCAAGGCAGACATTCTTCACCAGTTAAGCTAAGCTAGTGTTTGGTTTTAAGAAAATTTTAGGGATATTTTTGGTTTAAGATTCAAAGATTCTCTCAGGGCAATAATTTCAGGGGTCCATCTAAACTCCATGGTTCCAGAAGATCTGGATTCCATGAGAATTTGAAATTCTGTTCTAAATTTCCCCCTTTTCGGTAAGGATTCTTCTATAGAATCTTTGATTAAAATGTTCAGTAATGGTAGCTAGGCACCATCCGGTTCTGATCTCATGGCAAAGGAGGCAGTTGTTCATGGAGACAATTAGCCACATATTCCATTTTTTTCTCTTATTCCTGACTCTCTTTCTTCCTTTGTTGCTGCAGGTGAATAGAGACCAATTGTATCTTGGATGGCTGCTTGTAAGCGTTTAAGACCCCAGGCACTATACAGGGAGCTAGGAGGTAGAACAGAAGCACTAAACACTGACATGAGAAGAATTTGACTCGCCTTTGCTAGCTTTGAAGATGGAGGAAGGGGGCCACTAGCCAAAGAATGCTGGCAGCCTCTAGAAGCTGGAAAAGGCAAGGAAACCAATTGTACCCAGAGCCTCCAAAAGGAATGCAGCCCTGCTGCTGTCCTGATTTTAGCCCACTGAGACCTGGGTCAGACTTCTGACCTCGAGAGCTGTAAAATGATAAATTTGTGTTGTTTAAGCTATTAATTTGTGGTAATTTATTATAGCAGCCATAAAGAGTGAATACACTCATCATAATTTGTTAGTGACCTCAATCCTGCTCACACCACTGAAAATGGTTCGTTCATTACAGTTTGTTCAGTTAAACCCTTTTGAGTAGGATTCCGTTTCCCGCTCTTGTTTGTTGTTAGCTGCCGCTGAGTTGGCCTCCGACTCATGGCGACCCCATGTGTTACAGAGTAGAGCAGTTCCATAGGGTTTTCTTTCTTTTTAAAAAAATTTTTTATTGTGTTTTCAGTGAAAGTTTACACAGCAAATTAGGTTCCCATTTAACAATTACTACACAAATTGTTCAGAGACATTGGTTACATTTTTCAGAATGTGTCAACATTCTCATTAATCCCCTTCTGGATGTTTCGCTTCCAGTAATCTGGTTTCCCTGTCACCTTACCCTTTCATCTTTGCTCTAGAGTAATTGTTGACCATTTGGTCTCTCCATAGGGTTTTCTTGGCTGTAATCTTTACAGATGCAGTTTGCCAGTACTTTCTTCCATGGAGCCACTGGGGTGGGCTCGAACTGCCAACCTTTAGGTTAGCAGCTGATCACAAACCATTTGTGCCACCCAGGCTCCCTCCCCGTTTCCCACTAGGACCCAGCACTAGAATCCAGCAATTCCATTCCTGGGAATTTATACTACAAGTAAGACGCACACACCTATGGGAAATGGGTGCACAGGGTTATTTCTTGCAGGATTGTTTGTCAAAGCAGAGATTGGGAAAAACCCACATCAGCCAAAAGGAATTGGTTGAAATAAACACGGGTCCATGCACAAACTGAGGCACTTGACAGTGTAGGAAGGATGCGGAAGTGCTGATGGGCTGATAAGCAAGGCTCTGCTAACCTGCTGCTCAGGGAACAAAGCAAGATACGCTACACCGTGTAAACAGTGGGGGATAAAACAGAAACCAAACCTGTTTCTGTTGACAGAGACCCCGTGTGTTATGGAGTAGAACTTAGCTCCCTAAGGTTTGCTTGGCTGTAATCTTTATGGAAGCAGATCACCAAAAAATGGAAGAAGGGATGAGAACATATCTGCTTTTATAAACAGAAATCCTGGGGAGAGTGGCAAGAACCTGTTCATAGAGGTTTCCTGTGGTTTGGGGCAGCGAACGAGGTGATGGAGGATGAGCTGGGAGGCAGAAGTTTCACTGCTTACGTTTTCATATTGTTTGATGCTTAAATCTGTGCATCTCCCAGGCAGGGGCTAGGATGAGGCGAGGTAAAGAGGGCGCCAAAGAACTCAGGAATCAAGGCAAATAATGCAATATTAAAAAAAAAAAAAGAATGCAAAAAAAAACAACAACTCATGACGAACAAAATATCCACACTATAAGTGACGGCAGGATCAGGAACACGGCTGAGCTACATTTGAGCTTGAGGCAAAAGGAAATGTTAGTCATACTAATTCTTTGGAAATTTTCACAATAAAGAATTAAGAAAGAAGTTGGCAATCTTGGGAGGTGGGTGAGGTTTATCTAGGGTTTCTGGACGCCCTCACTCCCGCCAGATCCCCCACCTGCTATTCTCACCCCAGTTTAAAAAGCGAGCAGGAGCATAGTTCTACTCTGAAACACTTGAGGGCGCCATGAGTTGGCACTGACTTCATGGTAACTGGTTTTTTAGGTAAAACTACTTGGTTTTGCAGCTCACTATTGCCCCCTGGTGGTGATCGGCATGGGCACAGTAGCATTCTGGGGCCCTTATTCAATCCTTTGGAATCCCTGGGTGGTACAAACGGTTAGCACTGGTATCTGCTAAACTAAAGGTTGGCAGTTCAAACTCACCCAGACGCACTTCAAAAGTAAGGACCGGTGATTTACTCTTTAAAAAATCAGTCACTGAAAACCCTGTGGAACAGAGTTCTACTCTGTAACACATGGGGTCGCCAAGAGTCTGAATCGACTTGTCAGCAATTGGTTATTCAATCCTTTGGCAAATTTACTGAGGGCATACTGTGTGCCAGGACCTCTGCCGGGTGCTACAGATATGGCAGCAATAGGAAAGACTCGGTTTGTGCCCTGGTGGTGCTCCGTTATAAGGGGGGGGCCGCGGTAAACAGGTCAGCAAACAGGGTGTCTGGGAGCATCTTCAGGTGAGGCAAACTGAGGGGCTGGGCTTGAGGGCGACTCAGAAGGTGAGCCAGGAGAGCTGCTGTGAGGTGACAAGCAGCCGCCAGAGGGTGGGTGCCCTCGGGAGGGGTGGGCAAAGGGCTCCAGTGGATCTACGTGTACCTGAGTGTTAATTCAGCCTTTTCCTATGGCTAAAATACTTCGTTACTTTTTCTTAAGGAGTCCCACTGGAGGTTTGCAGGGAAGGGTGCTGTGGACAGAGGGCCGGGCAAGCACCAGGGCCCACGTTGTGAGCATCAGAGTGCTGGGCGCCGTATTTGCCTGCATTACCTCACTTAGCCCTCATCACTGCAATCCTTGGAAGGAGGCACTGGTACTGAGGCGGAGTAGCTGGTCCAAGGTCACACTGATAAAATTCCAAGTGCTTAAGGAACAGCAAGGAGGCTTGTGGGGCTGGATTGAGCAAAAGGGGAAGAGGGCAGACGTGAGGGCAGGGAGGGGATGGGCAGATGGTGCAGGGCCTTGTGAACTACCTGGGGGACTTGGGCATTTGCTCAGAATTTGGAGCCCTGAGAGTGTCCTGGGACAAGGAGGGCCAGGCCCTGCCATCATGACAGGCTCCCTCTGGCTGCTGCTTGGTGGGGGTTGGAGTAAAGAACACTGCTCCTGAGTGGCTGGCCGTGCCAACCGTCGAGGCTCAGATGAGGTATAAGCAGTGTCTTAGTTATCTAGTGCTGTTATAACAGAAGTACCACGAACAGGTGGCTTTAACAGAAATCTGTTCTCCCAGTCTAGGAGGCTAGAAGTCCTAATTCAGGGCACCAGCTCCAGGGGAAGGCTTTCTGTCTCTGTCAGCTTTGGGGGAAGGTCCTTGTCGTCAATCATCCCTGATCCAGGCGCTTCTCAGCACAGGACCCCAGGTTCAAAGGACATGCTCTGCTCCCAGTGCTTCTTTCTTGGTGGTATAAGGTCCCACTTCTCTCTTTTATGTCTCAGGAGATTGACTCAGATACAACCTGATCCTGCAGATTGAGTCCTGCCTCATTAACATCATACCCGTTGCCGTTTGAGCAGATTCCGACTCATAGCGACTATAGGACAGAGTAGAACCGCCCCATAGTTTCCAAGGATCGGCTGGTGGATTAGAACTGCCAACCTTTTAGTTGGCAGCTGAGCTCTTAACCATTGCGCCACCAGGGCTCCCATTAACATCATAGAGATTAAGATTTATAACACATAATCACATCAAATCACAAAATGGTGGACAATCATACAATACTGGGAATCATGGCCTAGCCAAGTTGATACACATTTTTAGGGGACACGATTTAATCGATAACAAGCAGGTTGGAGGGGACAAGTAAGCAAAGGGCTGTGGGGAAGGGGGCATAGGCTTGGGGAAATCTTTCTGGAGGAGTGGGTGAGAACTGAAGGTTGAAGACTGACGAGAAGGCATCAGGAGGAAGAACATTCCAGGCAGAGGGAACAGGACATGCAAAAGCCTGGGAGGAGACTGCGCCTCAGCATCCTCCACACCGCCTGACTGGAGGCTAGAGGGCAAAAGCTCAGGGCCGCCAGCCCAGCCTCCGCACTCCATTTGCCCATGTTTCCCGCCCACCCCCACAAGACGGGCTGCACCAACAGCCCTCACCACAGCTCTGATAGCATCTGAAATCCTTTATTTGAAGATCATCGCTGTTTACTAAATAGAAGACTTGACAGCAGACCAACAGTGAACAGAGCCCACAGTGACTGGAGCAGGCCCTCGGCTGGGGACCCACCCCCCCCACAGGCGGCCTGGTGACCTCTGCCCCTCCCTGGACCCCCGGGCCTTTGGCATAGTGCTGATGGGGGGCTGCAGGCAGTGAAGCCCCTTGACTCAAAGCAGAGACTTGGATGAGAGCTGGGGGCGGTGGAGAATGAGGGAGGGGAGGGCAGCCCCCTCCCTCCAGGGCTGGGGGAGCAGCGAAAGTGGAGGAAACCAGGAGCTGGGGAGATGGTGTCTATTTTTGTTTTCTGAAAAGGGGAACGCAGGGGCCTGCAGGCAGGCGGGCGGCGGCTGGGGTGGGTCACGCGCTGACATCCTTCTCATCCCCTGGCTTGGGGTCGGCTTCCAGCAAGGGATCCGCAGGCCCTGCCTCCTCCCTCTCCTTGGCCTCGCTGGACTTGGAGTTGGGGACCCAGAGGCCGGAGTCGATGCATCGCTGCATGTGGTACTTCGCGTCCTGTGGACAGAAGGGTAGGCGGATGAAATCAGGCTACTGCTACCCAGGGGGCCCCACAGCTGCCTGGGCTCCGAGCAACAGGGAGCTCATTACCACACGTCCTGAAGCCCGCTCACTGCTCCTTCTAGACCACAGCTGTCCAAAGAACTTTCTGTGACCATGGGAATCTTCTATAATCTGCACTGCCTAACACAGTAGCCACGAACCACAAGTGGCTAGTGAGCACTTGAAATGTGGCTGATGTGGCTGAGGAACACAATTTTAAGTTTTATTTAACTTTGATTAAATTTCAATCATGTACATCTAGAACAGAGGTCAGCAAACTTTTTCTGTAAGGGGCCAGATATTTCAGGCTTTGTGGGCCATATAGGGTGTCTGTCACAGCTACGCAATCCCTAACTCCTCAATTCTGCTGTAGTTGGGCAAAAACAGTCAGAGATAATATAAAAACAAATAAGTGGGGCTGTGTTTCAAAAAAACCTTTGTAAGAAAAAGGCAGCAGGCCTGTGAGTGGTAATTTGCCAACCCCTGGTCTAGATGCTCATTCCCATGGAAACTTCTGGGAATCCTGCAACTAGATCCATTTTACAGATGAGGAAACCGGTGTGGCCACCCAGCAAGCCAAACAGCAAAAATGGGGTCAAACCAAGGTCTTATTAAGCTCTAAAGCCTTGTTCTACTAGCTCTACTTAAAAAACAAAAAATAGTTGTCAACATGCCGACTCTGACTCCTAGTGACCCCATGTGACAGAGTAGAGCTGCTCTATAGAGTTTTCTCGGCTGCGATCTTACAGCAACAGATCGCCAGCTCTTTCTTCTAAAGAGCCTCTGGGTGGACTCAAATTTCTAATCTTTCGGTTAACAGCTGAGAGTGTTAACTGTTGCACCACCCAGGGACTCCACCAGGTCTACTAAGTTCTCGTAGTAACAGCCAATGTTTACCACCTCCTACTGTGTGCTCAGCCCTCCCCACGCACCATGCAGGCTAATTTCAAGACAGTAGCTGTGGTTTGGATAAGGAAACTGAGGCTGGGAAGGAGCACACCCCCAAGGCCACCGTGAGTCACTGGGGGCTCAACCCCAGTGTGCCAGCTCCTGAGGTTGCGCTCATAAGTGGCCCGTGGCGGCAGGGACGATCGCAGGGGACATGTGCTGCATGCTTTGGTACACAGTATGTGCTTGATAAACATGAGCGTGGATGAAAGCCTGGCTGCCACGTGTGCCGGCCACATGGTGACCCAGTGCCCCTACTCCTGCGAGAGGCCTGAGGAGGTGCTTTTGCAGCCTGCTTGAGAGGGGTGGCAGGCGGGTGGGCCCGGGGCACGGTTACTCACGGTGGGGTCCATCTTGCTGATGGCGTCTTGTAGCATTTGCACGTCCTTCACGTCAAAGCATTTCTGTAGCTCCTGGGGGTGCAGAGGGGCTGGGGGTCAGGGCCCGCGTCCTAGCGACCCGGGGCCCTGCTCACCGCCCGCCTGCCGCCCACCTGGGGCCAGGGGAGCGCACCTCAGGGAGAGACTCGTAGACCTCAACAGGGTCCAGGCCGCCGGGGCCAAGCCTCTTCTTGCGCTCCTCCTCCTCGTACTCTTTCATGGCCTTCTCGATGCGCAGCTTGGCACGGCCCCGCACGCGCTCCTTGAAGGCCTCCAGCTCGTCGTTGAAGCCCTCCATGTACTGGCGGTCAGCTGTCTGCAGTAGGTGGGCAGCAGTCGGGGGCCAGGGCTGACCCTTTTGTGGCAGCTCTGCAGGGGTGCCCTGAGGCTCCCTGCGTCTCCCTAAAGGATGGAGCGCTGGGGCTTGGGCCGCTCCTCTTCTCTGTCCACTCTCAGCCTGACTACCTACACCCTAAGGACCACACGGGGCCTCCTGCTGCATGCCCTGAGCCGCAGACCCGACACCCACCTCGACATCCCCACCTGGGGGTCTCACAGCCATCTCAAACTCAATACAGCCGCATGCGAGCTCTTGATCACCCCTCATCTGACCTGCCCTCGGTCTCCGCCATCTCAGTCAGTGAAGCACCGTTCCTCCAGGTGCTCAGGTAAAGGCCTGGGGGCATCCTACTCTGTCCCTCAGCACCACACTGGGACCTTCAGCAGAGCCACCGGCTCCGCCCTCAGTCTATCCAAGACCTCTTCTGGCCCCCCAGAGCCCCATCCTCCCCTGATGTGTGAGGCTTTGATCATAGGGGCCTGAGTCCCACGGACACATGTCTGCCTCCCCCATGGACTACAGGCTGGTTTCCTGAGGAGGGAGCCTCTGGCCACGCCCAGTACCCCATGGCCCCTCAGGGAGCTCACCTTAATCTTTGTGAAGAACTGCCTGAAGCAGGCACGGGGATCTACTTTCAGGCTCTTGGCCAGCTCCAGGATGAACTGCATGACGATGGTCTGGTGGGCCACCTGCTCCATGAGTGCACATTTCTACCAAGGGAGAACAGGCATGGCATCACCAAGTGGCAGCCTCAGTGCGGAGTCTTTCCCCACCCCCAGGGCAGGCTCCACTCACCTCCTCCACCTCTAGGTCAATGCACCAGATGACCAGGTAGTTGGCCGTCTCTTCGCACACCAGGTGGGCATTGTCTGACAGGTATTTCTGGCTGTCGTCCCAGCGGCGGAGCATGCCTGCAGGAAGGTGTTAAGCAAGGTGTTGGAAGGGCCCTAGAGGCACAGGGCCAACCCCTTTCCCCCATCCCCACTGGAGGCCCCTGGGCCAACTCACCAAAGTGCTTGATCTGTTTCTCATACTTCTCCACAAAGGTTTTGTGTTTCTGCTCCCTTGCCTCCTCTGAGTCCTCGTCCGCCTGCTCTGGCTTGATGTTGACCATGCTCTGTGGTGGGGCGAGAGGGGGAGTGGGCTGGGGCATCGCTGCTGCGGAACGCCCTGAGCACGGCCGGGCGGGCCGTGGCCGCAGTGCCCATCCCATCAGCGGTGGAGGTGGTGATGGTGCCATGAGCGTCAAGGAGGCGGGAGCGTGGGAGTGGCAGGTATGGCCTCGGACTAGGGCCTTTGGGGAGATCAGAGGGGGGACCGGTGGGGTGCTTCATCTGCCCAGCCCCCTGGACCTATTCCCCCCACCCGCCCCACCCTCCCTCCATGGCCGCGGCAGTTGCGTGCACCCCCACCAGACCCTGCCCTGCCCACCTTGCTGAAGCCGTCCTTGCTGAGCGTGTCCACGTTCCAGGGCATGCTCTTCTCCTTCTTGCGCATCTCCTCCAGCTTCTGCTCCCAGCTCCTTTCCTCCTTGCGCAGCTGCTGCGCCTCGGCCTGCAGCCGCTCCAGCTCTACCTGGCTGCCTGTGCCCTCGGCCACCTCCAGCTCCTTCAGCTTCCGCTGGCACTCCGCCACCTTGCGCTTGCACTCGCGGCAGCCCCTGTCCAGCTCCTCCTTCTCCTTCTGGAACTGCTCCATGCGCTCGACCCGGGCCTGTCGGGGGGATAGCCAGTGGCCTGCCACTCTGGGGGGTGGAGGTGGGGGGCTGAGCCCTGGCCCCAGCCCCAACCCCAACCCCGCCAGGCCTGAAGCCCCGGCACCTGAGATGGCCCTGCAAAATGTCTGCACCCACCTCTGCCCTGGTCTCCCGGCCTCCACCCTCAGCCCCACCACAGGTGCCTGTGAGCACCTGGGTCAGGGCACGTCCTTCCTCTGCTCAGAGCCCTCCATGGCTCCCACCTCACTCTGAGCAAAAGCCTGAGTCCTCACTACGGCCCGCTAGGCCCTACGCCATCTGCCCTGTTTGTGCCCACTCTGCCCTCTGCGCTCTGCTCCAGCCTCACTGGCTGCTTCACCTTTCCTTGAACACACTCTGCCTGGGATGCTCTTTCCCCAGACATCCACACAGTTTACTCCTTTGTGGAGTGACAAACGGCTAATGTACTCGGCTGCTAAGCTAGAGGGTTGGAGGTTCGAGCCTACCCAGAGGCACCTCAGAAGAAAGGCATGACAATCTACTTCCAAAAAATCAGCCACTGAAAAACCTGTGGAGCATAGTTCTACTCTGACACACCTGGGGTCACCATGAGGCAGACTCAACTTGACAGCAATAGGTTTTTGTTTACTCCCTCGTATCCTTATGATGGACCCTGGTGGCACAGCGGTTAAGAGCTCGGCTGCTAACCAAAAGGTCTGCAGTTTGAATCCACCACCCACTCTTTGGAAGCTCTATGGGGCAGTTCCACTCTGTTCTATATAGGGTCGCTATAAGTCAGAATCCACTCAATGGCAACAGGGTTGGTTTTTTTTTTTTACTGCTCATGATCTTGGCTCAAATGTTGTTTTCTAGGTGAGGGTTTTTCTGACCACCCTACAGAAAATTGCAACATTCCCTTGTCCCGTGCCCTGCTTTATCATTCTCACCAGTATCTGTCATCTGCTAACATCTGTGACAACTATTTATCACCTTTAGGTCACTGTCCCCCTAAGAACACGAGCCCCATGAGGGCAGGGGCTTGTTCTCTGTTGCGTCTTCAGTGCCTAGACCAGGCCTGGCACACACTAGGAGCTCAGGAGGCACTTGCTGGGTGAAGGAGGAGATGCTGGCCAGGGGCCCCCCTCTCACTGGAGCCTCCCTCACTACCTTCCAGCCCTCGCCACCCCCCCCCCCAAGAGCCCCTTCAAGCCACCTTCACCTGGATGTCCTGTCCTGCAGGCATGTGTGACCTGCCTCCCAAAACCCTTGTCCTCTGCTGTGTCCTCCCTCAGTGAAGGACCCCTGCTTCCTGCTCCCTCCCACTCTGCCACCAAGTCCTGACACTTTCCACTCCTAGAAGTTCCTCCAATTTGCCCACCTCCAATCTCACCTGACTATAAGCCAAAAGGTTGGCAGTTCGAACCCACCCAGCAGCGCCTTGGGAGACAGGCCTGGCGATCTGCTTCTAAAAGGTCACAGCCTTGAAAACCCTGTTCTACACATATGGGGTCACTATAAGTCAAAATCGACTTGACAACAACTAATCTTGCACCGGGATCCCTGCTGAGGTCCCTCTGCTGTCTCCAAGCCAGTGTGCCCTCCTAAGCCCCAGCTCAGTGTCCATCAGTCTCCTGCCCTCCTGATGTCGCACCTTCTCTTTCCACTGCACCCCACACACGTCAATGGTGCCCCGTCTCCTCAGACTCCTGGCCCCCACCTTCACTCCTCCTCTCGCTCAGACCTCTCCTGGCCCGCATGAGACTACTCAGACCTCTCTGCTCTCCACTCCTGCACTCCTGCCCGGCTCCACCACCACCTCCCCTGGCTCCCGGCTCCTGCTCCTCCTGGCTGAATGCAGAGCTGCTGACTGAACCCTGAGAGGTGCCACCACTTTCAACTGCTGCCCCTCAGTCCAGGCTCAGAGGCCGCCAGAGGAGTCTTTGAGACAGGTACACTTGACCACATCTCTCCCCCATACCTATCTCGGTGTGTTAGGGTTCAGATGTGCTCCTGACCCTCAGCAAGCTCCTGGCTGGCAATGATGCCCTATGGGAACTGGGTCCTGCTCTCCTCTTTCAATGCCAGGTCCCAGGTAGATGCTGGCCCTTGTGGTTCCCCAAACGCACCAGCGCTCTCTGGCCTCTTGGCCTCTGCACAAGCTGCTCCTTCCACCAGGAACCCCCTTCTCCTGCTTCACCCAAGTCTCAGCTCCAACAGAGCTGTCCCCAAGTTCCCCCACGTGAGGTGTCATCGAGCCCCCCAGGCCCCTCCGCCATCATTAGCTAATTATCCCACGTGCTGTGGGACGGCCTTGGGGCCCCAGAGCTAGGGTCCTACCCCATGATCACCATGTACTGGTTGAGTGCCGCTCTCTGAACCTCGGTTTCCTCTGTCAAATGCAAACAACAGCACCTACCTCACGGGGTTGTAGTAGGAAAAACAAAGGCGGCAGTTAAAGTAAAAAGCCATGGCCACACTGGGCACTCAGAGACCACCATTCAAGAAGACAATCTCTCTCTCTGGGGACGATTCTGGGGCTCAAACACGAAAAAGTACTTTAGGTGCTCAGATCAACCTGCAGCCCAGAGCGAATGCTCAAGAACTGGCGGTGGCTGCTGTAACCTCATTGTTGCCGCCCCCAACACCGCCACTTACTGGCAACACGACTCTGGCCAAGTTGCTTAAACCTCTCCCTGCCTTGGTTTCTCCCTCTGTGAAATGGGACCTCACAGGGTTGTTGTGAGGACTGCTGTTGTTGTTAGGTGCCATCGAGCCAGTTCCAACTCATAGTGACCCCACGCGCAACAGAACGAAACGCTGCCTGGTCCTGGGCCATCCTCACCATCGTTGCTATGTTTGGGCACACTATTGCAGCCACTGTGTCAATCCATCTTGTTGAGGGTCTTCCTCTCTTTCACTGACCCTCTACCAAGCATGATGTCCTCCAGGCACTGGTCCCTCCTGAACATGTCCAAAGTCAGTGAGACAAAGTATGAGGACTAAATGAGTTAAAAAAAATGCTTCCAATGCAGTAAGCATTCAGTAGATGTTACCCACTGATCACCACTGTCATCGTCACCACCACCAGAATAACCTGCTGACTCACTTCTGTGCCTTCTATGAGGCTGTATCCCCCCCCCAGTTTCTATATGACAGAAACAGGTGTTCCCAAGAATATTCTTTAGAGTTTTGTGGAGGTCTTCAATATTTCATAACAAAACGTTACACACAGCAATAGAGGTGCGAGAACTTTCTTCCCATATTCCGGTGGCTTGCCCAGTTTCTAGCACAGGGTCAGGTCAACGGCAGGTGAGAACTTTGAGAGCAGGGCCCTACTCCAATGTCCAACTGAACTGACAGAGCCAGCCCTGAGGCTTACTTTTCTCATATGAATAATGGGTGGAGAAGGCCCAGGCCTCAGACAGGAGCCCTGACCTTTGCTACCACCCGTTCTCCACAAGGCTCTGTGTCACCCTGGAGCCTTCCCACTAGGGGCTCTCTGCAGCTGACATCACAGTTGGCCCCAGGCCTCAGCAGGAACCGACCACCTTGGTTGTCTCTGCTGGACGGCCACCAAGCTCTTCCCAACGTCCTCTGAGAGGCCGCCAGGGAGGCAAAAGCTAAAAAAAGGCCTCCTGGAGCTGGTGAGGCCGGAAGCCTGCCCAGCCCTGGCTTTCCACCTGTCAGGAAGGGCCCAGAGCCGGCTAGGCAGGCCAGGAGCCACGGCAGCAGGAATCACTGCCCTCTCCTTACAGAGGGGGAAAACAAGGCCCACAGAACCTCTCTGTCATACAGCTTACTAGAAGGAGCCACAAGAAACCAGAAACAGTGGCAGTCTCTGGGCAAGTGAGCTGGGGAGCTGGTCTGGCAAGCAAGACTCACTCATCCTCTTACCCCTTCTGGAATTTTTCACCACGAGTGTGAATTACCTAAATACTAACTGATGAGAATAGCTACAGTTTATAGAAAGCTTATTATGTGTTAGATACTGCACACAAAACATTACAGACATTAAGCAGAATATTCGTCACAACACTTGGGACTGGATACTATTAATATTCCCAGCTGGGGAAACTGAGGCAGCTTGTCAGTGGTGCAGAAGGAGCTGGGTTAATTAAAAGACACCAGACTACTTTTTGACTAACCCCACCTCCTTTTCCAGAACACTTACTCCCTCCCAGGCCCTGAGCCAGGTTCTTTTCAGACCTAACCTCATTTTCATTCCAACAACAATTTCATAAAGACAGGGCCATATTATCCCTGTTTTCATAAGGGCTCCTGGAGCAGGGTTATGAACCTCACTCCCCATCAAGCAAGGCAGCAATGGGTACGGCTGGGATGAGTATCCAAGCTTGCCGGTCACAGAACCTAGTGCTGAAGACACCGAAGCCCCCGCCTCCACTACAGCCACCGGGCCTTTAAGACAAGGAAAGGGGCGGAGCTCTCAGTGGCCAGACAGGAAAAGGCTCTGGGCCAGGGAGGAGGGCGTGGCTGCAAGAAGGCCCTGCAGGAAAGGGGGCATTATCCTCACACCCTGCCCTGGCACCCCGCAGGACCAAATCACCTCCACATAGTAGTAAAGATTAATCTCTTTATATGACAGAAACAGGTGTTCCCAAGAATATTCTTTAGAGTTTTGTGGAGGTCTTAAATATTTCATAACAAAATGTTACACACAGCAATAGAGGTGCGAGAACTTTCTTGCCATATTCCGGTGGCTTGCCCAGTAGGTACATTACCCAGGAGACTACTGTTTTAAGAAATGGGGGGCTGGAAGTGGGACTAGGGGCCAGACATACGGGCTAGTGCGGGGTCCCCTAAGGATGGGGAAGTGCCCTTCGAGAAGTTTCTGGATAAATGACTGGGAGCTGCCATACGGGAGAGCAAGGTGGAGAGCTCCTAGCTAACATAAGCCATCAGTTAGACAGTATAACAGGCACAGGTATGTGAGTGCAGGAGCTCTGATTTGGGGGAGCAGGAGATTAGATCATTCGGTCTTATGAAAGCCACCCTATTAGCCCGTAAGCACAAGTGGGCAAGGAGAGGGGTGGCAGGCCACAGGTCACCTAGACTTGGGATTCTGAGATCTGGATCTGGGGGTTCTGTTGTGGGGAGTCCCTGGGTGGTGCAAACAGTTAACGTGTTTAGCTGCTAACCAAAAGGTTGGAGGTTCCAGTCCAACCAGAGGCACCTCAGAAGAAAAGCCTGGCAATCCACTTCTGAAAAATCAACCACTGAAAACCCTGTGGAGCACAGTTCCACTCTGACACACATGGGGTCGCCATCAGTTGGAGTTGACTCAATGGCAACTGGTACTGGTGGTTGTGGGAAGACAGATAAAAGAAGGGGTAGTGAATTTGGAAATCAAATCAGTAGGGTCCCTCGGTGAGAGCAGGGCCAATTTGGGCATCAGATAATGGCAGACCAGGCTGGGGGCAAGGGTAATGCCCAGTGGGTGTTGGGTCCTGGGCTTGGTGTGGTTTCCACTGGGTTTCCAATGCTGGCACAGGTTCACACAGGAGGCCTGTCTTGGAGGTAGGTGATAATGGGGTCTGCAATATCAAGCAGGGGCAGGGGCTCTAGCTGGGCTGGAAGCCATGGGGGTGGGGCTCCCGGTGTAATGAGAAATGAGGTCTACAGTAGGTGAGGCTGAAGAACAGTCAGAACTGGAGACTCCACAGTGTGGAAGCTGGCGATTGAGTCTGGAGGTGAACTAAGTTCCAAAAGCGTGGTCCTAGGCTGAGTCCCTGGGTGCAGGAAGTGGTTAAGCACTGGACTAATAACCTAAAGGTTGGCGGTTCAAACCCACTCAGAGGCACCTTGGAAGTAAGGCCTGGTGATCTGCTTCAGGAAGGTCACAGCCTTGAAAACCCTATGGAGCAGTTCTACTCTGCACACACAGGATCGCCATGAGTCGGAACAACAGGTAAGATGAGGACCCTGGTGGATCACGAGTCTCACTTCTAAGGAAGCGGTCCCGGGTGTGGGTTGGGGTCCCAAGCCAGGAACAGGAATCTGACTGGGAATCCCCGTCAAGACTCCCTGAGGTGGATCCCAGGATAGAATTAAAGTATTAGGGTCCTAGACCCTAGGAGTTGGGGGGCCTGATGGAGGATCCCAGATCAGAGGTGGGGACCCGAACAGGATCACGAATCACCTAGCTGAATTGAGGGTCCAGACTCTGAGGCGGAGTTTTGAGTGTAAACAGAAAATCGCTAAAAGGACTGGGGGTATTCCCAAGCTTATATTGGGAGTCTAGACTAGGAAAATTGTTCTAGGGATCAATAGGGAGTCCCACGCAGCTATCAGAGGGGTCTCGGGATCGCAGTAAGATGGACAGGGTCCTGGGGGTACTGAGGGTTCCGGAGTTGAATCGAGGAACCCCGGGAGACAATAAAAATCCAGAGTGTGAGACGTGAGTACCAGGCGTCAAAGGCGAGGTCCCTGGCCTGTATTTGGGTTCAGAACCCCGGAGCCGGGTCCCAAGCGAAGGAGGAACGCGGCGGGCGCGCGCGGTATACCTGGTGCCGCCAGCGGAAGAGGCTGGCTGTGTCGATGTTGGGGTGCGTCTCGTCTTCATCGTCCGATACTTCGATGTGGTCCCACACGCTGTAGTCCACCATCTTGCCTCAGCAGCCCAGCCCACTCCGGCTCCCGCGGCAGCTGCGGCGACTGCGGCAGCGGCGCTGGAAACTCTGCCTGCGGAACCCCGCCCCTTCCGCTTCCGCCCGGGCGCGCGCGCCCCCGCCCGCTCGTGACGTCACATCCCTAGTAACCCGGCGGCGGCACTGGAGACCGAGCCCGCCTTAAAAGGCACTGCCTACGTGTTCCCGCTCCGCGGTGTCCCCGCCGAGACCCCCTCCTCAGAGGGCCCGGGGATTCCAATGGGCACCTCCTGAGGGCACATGGGCGGGTGCTGCAGCCACAATCTCCTTCATTTTTTGCCGCCCCTCGGTGAGCGTTTGCAGCGGCCAGGGAGGGCAGTTGGCGAGAGTGAGGGCGGGGATTGTCCCCTGGGCCACGCCGCATGACGTCAACCAGAGCCCACTGCAGGGGGCGGGGCCTCGACGAGAAGACGCGCCCCCTGCCCGTTGTGAGGGGGCACCTAGCCCCGCGCTCAGAAGGGTGTCTGATCTGAGAAGACCTTTCCAGTCCGAGCGAGACATAGCACTGCCCTTAGGGGCTAGCGTTTCCCCGGCTCGGACATCGGCCTTCACCTTCCAGGTCTCTTTCCCGCCCCCGTCTTCTGCCACTCCTGAGCGGAGACTCGAACACATACATACGCCCCTCTGGAATCACCCCGGCTCACCGCCCCCCCCCCCAGCACCTTCCTGGGCGCCTGCCTGCGATGTCTCCACGCGCGGCCATTGGGTGTCGCTAATGTCCAGCCTGGAGCCAATGCTCCTGGTCCCGCGCCCGGCGGGGAAGCGTGGAGAGGCGGATGGGGGTCTTTCCTCGGCTCCGCAGTCTGGGGCCGCTGACAGCTCCTTCAGTTTCGTCGGGGCCCCCTTCCTCGCCCAGGGTTCCAAAGACTTCATTACTCTGAGCTTGGGGGACCCTGGCCGCACTCTTCCATACATCCCAACCCACGCTTTGATACCAGGATAAAAGGCCTGGTTACAGCGTAGGGCCGGGATTATCAGATTAAAGGGCGCTCCGCCGGGGGCGGATGGGAGGAGCTCCAGCACCCGAGTGAGGGGCGCCACTTCCCAGACTCCCTCGAAGCCACTGATTGGGGGACAGGAGGGAATGGAGGAAAGGTCTCCAGATTGCGGAGGGGGGGCGGGGGTTCCCGGTCCGGAGAGAGGGAGGGGCCAGCCAGACAAAAGCGCCCTCCCGCTGCCGCCCTTCCCCCTCGCCCTCCATTCAAGCCCGCGAGTGGGCGAGCGGGGGCGGGAGTCCCCCCCCGCTCCCCCTCCAGCCGGGGCAGTCCAGCATCTTGGCGGCCGTCACGGCCTGAGTACGCGCGCGCACGTACCCACACATCGGCGGGACTCACAATCGCGCACACACATACACATTCCCTCCCCAGCCCCCCTGCAAGGTAAGCTCCGTGCTGCGAACTGCGGCGGGAAAGGGGCCCAGTGCCGCGGCGGGTGGGGGGCCGGAATGGGGGGGTCCCCAGCCCCTCAGGAAAGCCGGGGCACCGCGTCCGCGCTTTGCGGGCTTCGGCCCAGCGGCCCGGCTCCGGGTGTGTGGTGAGGACTTCGGATGCCGGGGATTCCCGGGTAGGCGCAGGGGGTCTCTCCGAGGCTTCGGAGCCTGGAGCTGCCAGGAAACAGGATCTCAGGCGTCCCAGCTCTTTAGCGCTGGCAACTGGGGAACAGGCAGCTCCCGCATCAGCGCCAAACATTTCCTAATCTCCTTCCAGCAAAGCATCACCAGCCCTGGGGGCTGAGACAGACCCTTGAATTGCTTTACGCTATCCGTTGGTCTTACCCCCGCATCAGTGCACCCCCTTGTATATCCTGTCTCTGTGGGGTGGGGTGAGAGCTGGGGCTGCTCCTCTCCGCTGCCCCTCCTTCCTCTGCTGCATCCGACAACCACACACCGCTTAGCTGCGGCGGGAACCGCGCCAAGTGGCTTTGCCTTCCTAAGCCTCAATTTCCCTATCTGCAAAGTGGGTAATGACAGACACATCGAGAATTACGAGGTCATGCATGCCAAGCCCCCCTTTGCTCCATCGTTTATTCCACACCTATTCCCCAAGGGCCTACTGTGCGCCAGGTACTTTGGCAAAGCTGTGGGGCTGCAGCAATAAACAGGACCTGCTGGGTCCCTGCTCTACTGACTCTCCAGCTGATGAGGGAGCAAGATCGGTGTGTAAACAGAGAAATACCCAAGGTGATTCCACACTGTGAAGACTAGAATTCCAGCAGGTGGAGAGAGGGACTGGGGGAGGAGGCACTCAAGATTAAATGAGATTTCTGGCTCAAGTCTGCCTTCCTCATTCTCACTGAGTTACGTGGGGGTAGGGCCAGGGCCAGAAGAGTATCTGACACACAGTAGGTGCTCAATAAATTCTGAGTGAATTAAAGGGGACATTAGATTCATAGGCCTTTAGATCAGGAAGGGAGCTTATCATGAAGTAATCCAACCTCCACCCATCCCCCATTTTACAGATGAGGTGATTGAGTCTCTGAGCCCCAGAGAAGGGAAAAGACATAGGCAACACAGCGGGCAGATGGGGCGTTGGTGGTTAAGTGCTAGAATTCTCACCTTCCATGAGAGAGATCCAGGTTTGAGTCCCGGCCAATGCACCTCATGCGCAGCCATCACCCATCTGTCAGTGGAGGCTTGTGTGTTGCTACAATGCTGAACAGGTTTCAGCAGAGGAGCTTCCAGACTAAGACAGACTAGGAAGAAAGGCCTGGTGATCGACTTCTGAAAATCAGCTAATGAAAACCCTGTGGATCACAATGGTCCCATTCAAAACTGACCATGGGGATGGCACAGGACCAGGCAGCGTTTTGTCCTGTTGTGCATGAGTCACGGCTGACTCAAAGGCAGCTAGCAACAATGAATGAATGGATGTGAACAGCTGGGAAAGGAAGCAAGTAGAGACCAGAATTGAGCACAGGGCACTCCAGGTGCCCGTGATGCCCAGCCAGTGCCCACCCCTCCTCATACACCCACATAGACACAGCCCTGCCTTCTTTCTTTCAACAAGTATTTATTGAGCACCATTATATGCCAGGAGCCCTGGTGGTGAAGTGGTTAAGAGCTCAGCTGCTAAGCAAAAGGTTGGCAGTTCGAATCCACCAGCCACTCCTTAGAAACCCTATGGGGCAGTTCTACTCTATCCTATGAGTCAGAATCGACTCAACAGCAACAGGTTTGGTTTGTTATTTTTATATGCCAGGTGCTGGGAACCAAACTCCCTGCCCCATAGAGCTGACATTTAATGAAGGAAACGGAAAAGACAACATAAATAAATACCTAGCAAATTGTGATTAGGACTGTGATGCAAGAGAGGGCCTGTGACAAGAGAGAAAAATGGGCGGGGGGGGCCACTTCAGGTAGGATATCCAGGAGGAACTCCTGGAGGGATTGAATTACTCTTCAAACACACCCTTGTGCACGCATGCACGTGCGCACTCAAACCCAGACAAAAGTAATCACACTAATCCTGTACACAGGTCCAAACCAACAGCCTAAGTAAGGGCCTGAGGCCACATAGCTAGTGAGTGGCTGAGCAGGGATTTGAGCTCAGAGTCTGCATTTCTGACACCTGTGAAATGCTGCTTCCCGCTGCGTCCACATGCATCTTTCCCTGCCTCTCCCCCCACCCACACTTTCTCATATTCAACCTCATGCCCACGTAGACTGACATGGTGTCATCCCATAATGTGTGCTCACTCACACAGGTACAGTCTCAACTACACAGCACTCACACTCTTAGAAATTTCTGCCTGTCCAGGTACACATGCACAGCCCTGTCCAAAGTTAACGCGTGCGCACACATGCCTGGGGCCCCTGACAGTCCTTTCCAGCCCTGTTGCAGCTCCGGGCATGGAGCTTGGAAAGTTACTGTCCCTCCTACGCCTGATTGCTCAGGGGATATTCAGGGCCTTTATCCTCACTTCTTTCCCTCTTGTGTGGCCACCCGTTCCTGCCTCCTTCTGAGGGAGGTGGGGGTGAGCAGGAGGCTGGGCTCCTCCCGCAGGCCAGGCCAGGGGCTGCAAGGCAACCAACCCAAGCTCAATGCCAGCTGCCCAGTGCGGTCTCCTCTGCCATCTGGAACCCCCTCCCCAGCCGGCCTGCTGCCCAGGGGAGGGTAGGCAGGCTTACAGGCACCCCCTACCTGGGGCATCAGGCCAGTTCCTGAGGCCCTGCCTCCCGCTTCCCGGCTTATGCTGGGCTGATGTCTGCAGATGTTCACATGTGTCCGGTGATGGTGGGGTGTGCATCTCTGCTTCTCTCTCTCCAGCCTGTCAGCCTCCTCTGGGCATCCATGCCTCCATTTCTTCCTTCATTCCACAAATCCTTGAGTGTCTATCATGGGCCAGGGGCTGTTCCAGCACTGGGGCAAACAGCCAGGACTGGCAACAGAATTTGCAGGGCCCAGAGCAAGAAGAAAATGCAGGGCCCTGTGTTCAGACTTAAGAAGAATTTCAAGACAGCAGTGTTACTGTTGTTGTTAGGTGCCGTCGAGCCGGTTCCGACTCATAGCGACCCTACGTACAACAGAACAAAACACTGCCCGGTCCTGCACCATCCTCACGATTGTTGTTATGCTTGAACCCATTGTTGCAGTCACTGTGTCAATCCATCTTGTTGAGGGTCTTCCTCTTTTTTTGCTGACCCTGTACTTTACCAAGCATGATGTCTTTCTCCAGAGACTGAGCTCTCCTGACAACATGTCCAAAAATATGTAAGATGTAGTGTCACCATCCTTGCTTCTAAGGGGCATTCTGATTGTACTTCTTCCAAGACAGACCTGTTCGTTCTTTTGGCAGTCCATGGTATTTTCAATATTCTTCACCAACACCACAATTCAAAGTCAATTCTTCTTCGATCTTCCTTATTCATTGTCCAGCTTTCGCATGCATATAAGGCGACTGAAAACACCATGGCTTGGGTCAGGCGCACCTTAATCTTCAAGGTGACATCTTTGCTTTTCAACACTTTAAAGAAGTCTTTTGCAGCAGATTTGCCCAATGCAACGCATCTTTTGATTTCTTGACTGCTGCTTCCATGGGTGTTGATTGTGGATCCAAGTAAAATGAAATCCTTGACAACTTCAATC